CCCCGCACCGCGGAGCTGCTGCGCGAGGTGGCGCAGGCACAGCGGGCGGCCGGCGGGGGCGGCCCCGAGGGCCCCGGTGGTGCGGTGGACTTTCTCGCGGTCTATCTTGCTAACCTGGAGGCCAAGAGCCGGCAGGTGGTGGCACTGCTGCCACCCCGGGGCCGAAAGACCGCCGCCGACGAGCTCTTCCGGGAGGGCTCCAGACTCAGGTGAGCCTTTGCCCCGGGACAAAGGTGAGATCGCCAGCGAGGCCCAGGTCCTGCTCGCAGCTCCCTCCGCCCTCGGACCCAGGAGTCCCAGTCCCAGTCCCTTCTTCCTAAAGGAACCTGGAAAACTAGGCCTCCCAGTTTTTTCCTTCCTTGGGCACCTAGGCTCTCAGCCCCCCATTCCCTCTCTTCTTGGCTTAGAAGCCGGCTGGCCCACCCAGAGAATTTAGACACATATCCTGGAACATGGGGACCTCAGGGTGCTTCCTGCATCCTAATCACTGGAGAAAGTCAGCGCCCCTGCCGGGAACCTCCCAAGGCCTGTCTGGAGCAGCAGCTGTCAACCGTGTCATGCCCCCACACCCCTTCTTTATAGCAAATATTTTGTAAGGTTTCCTTAAATCCATCCTGAGATGAAATTCACAGGGTCAATAACCTACCTCCTCATAATTCCTTAAAAAACATTATAAGACCCAAACTGTATTATAAGGGAGTGATCAAAGGAACGTTCTTCATAATAAATGTATCTATATTTTGAATGAAAATGCCAAGGCACAATTACCATTGCTCTGGAAGGCAGAACGGACTAGTCAGACACTTGGACCTGTACAGAGAAATCACTATGTTGCTGAAACAAACTGACTTCCCTTGATACATAGGATAGTTGGATTTCTGTAAAATTCAGAATCAATTTTAAATGTGCAAAAAAATACTTGTGTAAAACGGAATTGGGTTCTAGGTTCAGATCATTACAAATGGATTTTCCACCTTCATGAATGTCTGGTGGGACACTGGAAAATTGAGAGAGATGTGGGCAAATCTTGCTGGAGGGGATTGTCCCTATAATCCAGCCTCCGCACCCTAACTACCATGTCAAGGAAATTTCCAGAAGCTCCTTAGGAGGGTGGTATAATTCTGCTGAGAATCACTGTTCTAGATTCAGTGGGTTCTAGAAACTAGGAAGCTTTGGGGCTCAATGAGTGTCTTAGTGGATGTTACAGAGTTTCAGGATCCTAGCAACTCTTTGAAGGAAATTCTAAACCAGAAAACTCCACTAAAATCTAATGCAAGCCAAACAAGCAGCTTTCCATTTTCCAGTAGACATATTACAAAGAGTTTTTTTAAACAGGTGAAATGAATTTTAGTAACATTTTCTTTAACTCACTATATCCAAAACATTATCACCTCAGTATAATCAATATAAGGCGATGATTAACGAGATAGTTCACATTTTGTTTTCCCTTTTGCGTTGTTTCAGAAATCTGGTGTCTATTTCATACTTAGAGCACATCTCAGTTTGAACCAGTCACATGTGAATAGTGATTCCATTATAGACTCTGGGAAGGGAGGATGCTTAGAAACTGTCAAGGGTGGCCCTATAAAAGGTCTCAGGAATCCTACAGACCTAGCCCAAGGAGACTATTAACACAAAATAAAAAAAAAACAGTAATAGTAATTAACATGCCCTGAGTGCAGCCTTATGCCACACTGTGCTAGGCATTTTATGTGCTTAGAAGATGTGTAAGAATCCTCATCACTCCCCCAGTGACCCAGGGGCTGTACTTACCCTGTATGTATGCCCATTTCACAGTTGAGGAAACTGAGGCTTTGGGGGTGGGAAAAAGGAACTTGCCGAAAACCACACAGCTCAGTGTCCGAGCTACCCTCTGCTGCTCACCAAATTCTGAGCAGTCCCTCGGGGAGGCAGCCAGCAGGAAAAAGCTCAGGAACCCACCATCCAGAGCTGCTAAAACCAAGAGGGAGTCTCCAAGCGTGACCTACACTCAGACCACCCTAAATGGCCCCAGCCCTAGTGGTCCGCGTGTCTGACTAGGCAAGGCTTCTCCTCCAGCCCCAACCCCAGGCTTCAGGCAGAGGCTGGGATTTGTCTGCTGGAGGATGCCTTCGGTATTGGAAGAAGGGCAGTACCTCCCTTTCCTTCACAGATGGGGAAACCAAGGTTCCGAGAGGGGAGACATTAGGACTGCAACAAGCAGTTTGGGAATTGACTTTTACCCTGCACTGACGCCTTAGGGAGATTCTGGGGGCCTCGTCCCTGTGGGTGTTCCCCACCGAGGGTGCAGGAGTCAGTGGGAGCCCCAAGGTCCAGCCCAGATCCTCAGAGCCCATCCCCACAGGCGACAGCTGGCCAAGCTGGCCCTCATCTTCAGCCACATGCATGAGGAGCTGAGCGCGCTCTTCCCCGGAGGAAAGTACTGCGGAAACACGTACCAGCTCACCAAGATCCCAGCCCACACTTTCTGGAGGAAGCACTGCGGAGCCCGGTGAGTGAGCACTACCCCTGGGGCCCCTCAGCATCTGGAGCCTCATCCTGCCCCTGCCCAGGGACCCAGGAGTCCAGGCCCTGAGCCCCTCTTCCCTCAGACCCAGGAGTCCAGGCTCCCAGTTGTTTCCTTCCTAGAAGGTGCTCCCATCCTAGGCTCCCAGAAGCTTCAGCTTCGTTCCCCCACCCCCTCCATCTAGGTGTGTGCTGCCCTGGGCTGAGTTTGAGGCACTCCTGTGTATCTGCCACCCCGTGGAGCCAGGCTCCACCGCCCTGGCCTTGCGCTCCACCATTGACCTCACCTGCAGTGGCCACGTGTCCATCTTCGAGTTTGACGTCTTCACCAGACTCTTTCAGGTGAGGGGAGGCCAAAGCTGGAAGCTTAGACTTTTGGGTCCTGGGGGAAGGAGAGGCTGGGAGCCCAGACTCCTAGATCTGAGGGAGGAGGGGCTAGGGACCCGGACTCCTGGGTCCTGGAGAAGGAAGAGTCTGGAATCTTCTGTGTCAGAGATATTCCTGAGGCCTACCATGGGTGTGAGCAAGGTAGTGGGAGGCACTAGGGGTGAGGGCTGCTTCCTCAGCCCCTCCCTCACCCAAGTGCTGCCTCACCCTAGCCATGGCCAACACTCCTCAAGAATTGGCAGCTGCTGGCAGTCAACCACCCGGGCTACATGGCCTTCCTCACATATGACGAAGTCCGAGCACGTCTACAGGCCTGCAGAGACAAGCCAGGCAGGTAAAAGGACCCGGCCTCAGGAGAAGGAGGCTGCAGGAGGTGCAGGGGTCTGGGTCTTGGGCTGGGGCGATGGAAGCCCAGACATCCTTCAGACAGCAAGGGCCACAGTACATGGGACCCCAAAGGGTCGAGAGCTCAGAGGTAAGATGCTAATGCCTCTTACCTCTGCAGTCTGGGTTCTCCAAGGACCACCTAGACCTTCCCACAGTCCAGCAGTTAAAGGGACAATGCTGCTCTGGTAGGGGGGCCTGAAGACCCTGCCCCAGGACAAATGTGTTTCTGACAGCTCAGAGCCCATGCTGTACCAGCTGTTAAATATTTTGTATGTGACCTTCTGACCTGCTGGACTTCACCTGCTGGAAGTTGCACTTCAAACTGGTGTAAAGGGAAAGAGAAATTAATGAATTCCCATAATTGAAAAGACCAGGTGCAAGTTTCAGGCACATCTGGATCCAGGTGCCCAAGTGCTATTATCAGAAATTGGTTCCTGTTTTTCCCTGGCTTCCTCCGTGTTAGCCTCATTCTCAAATATAGTCTTTCCTCATGGTGGTAAATGGTTTCTAGAAGCCCCAGCCCTACACTCTGCCAGTTTAGCAACCCCTGTAGAATGTGGGTGCCTTGCTCCTGATACTTCCAGCAAAATTTCCAGAGTTGATTCCCACCACTATGATCAGGGTCCTGAAATGCACTGGTTGGCCAAGACAGAATCAGTGTTGTCTAAACCCCAGAGAAGGTGGAGGAGGAGCCAAGCAGGTAAAAACAGCAGGTGTTCCCTATGGTGGCGGATGGGGATCTAGCCTAAAAAGGAGGAAGCTGGGTTATAAGGGATTGAGGACTTAAACGCCTGGATCCGCACTAGGGTAAGGGGCCGGGAGGTTCCAGAAGGGACAGCAGTGACCACTCCCTAACCCCATCCCTTCCTACCTCTTCCTCCAGCTATATCTTCCGGCCTAGTTGCACTCGCCTGGGACAGTGGGCCATCGGATATGTGAGCTCAGATGGCAGTATCCTGCAGACCATCCCTCTCAACAAACCCCTGTTCCAGGCACTCCTGGAAGGACAAAAGGAAGGCTTGTGAGTCATCATCCTAGCAGGGGAAGGGTGTCAGCAGAACACTCTGCAAAAGCTCATGCCTATTGAGCACTGCCCTAGATCACTACGACAGAGGGCACAGGGTTCACAGAGCAAACATAAATTTGCAATACTCCAGTGTTCCAGCAGGTGGCAGACAAGGATCCAGAGGAAGGGGCACCTTTCCTAGTTCCCACAAAGCTGCCATATTGGGCTAGCGGCAGCTCGGAGCTGTGTGTGGAAGTTGGGCACAACCCCAGTGGCCACCTTCCTTGGACTTGCACTCAAGGGCCTTTGCTTCTAGATAGCCATATCCTCTTCTAGAATCCAGACCAGTTAGAGCAGGAGAACTGGGCAAAAAGTTAGACTGGGGTTTTCAATCTGTAATCTGGGCTGCCCCGGAGCCCCTCTTTTGGAAGCTGCCTTGGGTAGGAGGGGAGGGGGAAAAAAGGCAGGTGAGGTTCCTGAATCTTACCCTGGACCTTTAACCAGAGCCTTCTTAGCTAGCAGACATATCTATATGATGTGCTATGAAACAGATGCTGGATAGATAGATAGACAGAGATAGATAAGCAGTTGATTCTCATTATTTCTCATTATTCATGGTAGTTCTATTGTACAAAAGTGCAACAAACACCGAGTTAGGAAATCCTAAGCCATGGCTCCTAGGGGAAATACAGGTGCAGGTTCCTGCAAGATTCTGGTCACGTTTTGGTCAATCAGTCGTTCCATAAGAAGATTCCTGTGTGTTTCTGTTTAAAGACACCTAATTTAACACATAACGTTGATTCATTCACATGGAACTCATGGCCAACAGCACTGTAACTCATGCCTGAATGAAGCTCGTCTGTCTCACCCCCGAATTTTCTCCATAAGTCACATCTCAGCCTTCTTGAGCTTAGGACATGAGACTGAACTTCAGCACTTTGCTTGGGGTGGGGGGCATTTAAACTAGTGAAATCACCAAGAAAAAGCATTAAAATGTGGAAAACGGGACACTGAATAGACTGTGAAAATGACACGTTTACAGTGTGAGAGCTCAAAGGAGAAGGCCAAATGTTGCCTTGTTCACCCTCAGCTGGGAGCATGCCTGGCGGTGAATGACCACGGAAGGTGCCCAAGAATTGATTCTGAGGTTACAAATACA